GTCTGAACACATTCCAACAATGGCAGGTCTTTGGATTTCTTGGTACACTTCTTCTGCATGGGCTTTAACAAAATGCCCTTGAGGACGTAGCAATTGCTTTTCCAACTTCAGTGCACGCTCACTTGCAGCTGGGTGGGGACAAAAGGAAAATGCAACTACGCAATCAATTCAAACAATTCATTAACTCGATTAGGTAAGTCTGTTTACTGAGTTTTCTGCTAAATTACATGATGGTATGATGTATTTTTGCCTGAGATAGCGACTCGCTTGTCGCGCGGTTCCAAAAAAATGGAGAAGTACTCCTGAGCGTTTTAGATGGTAGAAAACGACAAGTCGAGGACGTGACCAACAAGATTATATATCTCTTTTGAATGCTTTTGAGATCTGAGGTCAGGAGCAAGGACGCTACTAGTAGGTCTTTGAAGCTACTAGTATGTCTTTGATCGCTACTGATTAGTAACAAGAAACTACGGTCTCTATCCTATCGATTTTTGGATCCCACAATCTGAACACCGCAACATGGTGATCGCAGTGATTGATCTCTGATGGTATTTTAGAGGGAGGCCGCCCGGCCTGTCGTTGGGTTTCAGCAAACGTCAATCTTATCCCCTGACCACTCTTTACTAAGAATGGTTGTCGCTGAAGGGTTACCAATCTGCAGAGTGTCAGCAGATTCAGAGGGGTCGCCTGGATGTATTGCCTGCACGGAATTGCTGAGTTATCCAAGCACTTTATACCAAATATGATCTCGTTGGACTCTTCCCGCTAAGCATTGGCTTATTTCATTCAAGTGCCGGCAAGAGTACAATGATATTCTCGAAACAATTCGCAAGTTGGAGCCTCCGCGGAGCCTCCATCCCCTTACTACCCACAAATTGAACTGCCATGCACTGCTCATGAAGTCTCCTTGTCGGATTCATGGAACTTGTCGTTTGCAGCAGCGTGCAAGACATGGTGCCGGTCGTTCCATCCAGCTTCCTCCACAAGCCCATCATGGCTCGTTGTCATAGTCAATCAAATCATGATTGAATTCTGCACGGACTAATATGTGTAATCAATTTACTTTGTTCTTCAGATCACAAAGACTGCCTGCGCTGCAAACTCAGGAAGACCAGAGAAGGACCTCTGCGCTTCGCAACGAGCAAAGAACCGAGCTTTCAGCAAGAGAACTGGTGCGAGTCGTAACATCTTTCCCAGGGTTCCCTGGATTCCCCGTGGTCAGGGGCTCCTGGCCTTACTACTAGGAACAAGAAGCTACTAGGGGCTAGGAAAAAGAAGCTACTAAGGGCTCCTGGCCTTACTACTAGGAACAAGAAGCTACTAGGGGCTCCTGGCCTTACTACTAGGAGCAAGAAGCTACTAGGGCTCCTGGCATCGCTACTAGGAACAAGAAGCCGCTTGTCTGTTCCGCCCAGGTCCAATACGAATGGCTCTTGGATGCCTCTGCATGCGTCATATGCAACACGTGTCTGTCACGCTTCCCTCCCGAACCTCCCCCCAAAGGCGGGCTTCTGAGCTGTGAAGGTATCACCTTGGCGGCGGAGGCCATTGCTCCTAGGTTGGAGGCCATCGCTAGTAGGATAGAAGAGGTCTACTCCCAAAATGGCCCATACAAAGGCCCCAACTAATCCCCTTCCATGTATGATATGTCTGATATGTAGACAAACTATTGCATGATATTGCATGTGAGGCTTGTGGACCGTCAGGCACCCCTGGCTTCAGAGCTAGTGCTTAGCCCCCTTACACAGCTGCATCTAAAGTTACAATATGTATAAATAAGTTGCACTTATTGCAAACTGCACATCATCACCCCCAACATCTCCAAACAGCATTTTGCACCTTGCAAGAACTGGTTCAAGCACCTCTTGTGCTGTACATGGGGCAAGAGAGGCAAGAAAAAGGACAGCATTCCTTTTCAGTTCAAAGATTTGAGGACCTACGTACTAAAATTTGATAATAATTTCTGGTCTCTTGCTGGCTCTTGCTCAAGCGATGCCGGCTTCGGAAGCAGCTCAAAACCAGTGCCTCTTGCCACTGGCAAGACTGCATACACTGTTCACCCGCTGCAAGCCACTACCCAGTCTCACATGTGTTGGAACCTTCTCCTGCGACAGTGGCAAGCGAAGTCTGTGGCAGTGGATGTCAGTGGCTTCTCTGGGCAGGTCTCCAAGAACCAATGAACTGGGCTTCACGGCCGCATACCGCTTCCTGTCGATGTTTGACCGTGAAACCTAGAAGTACCTCAATCCATCTCATTCCAGCCGGCCACAGACGCTACTAGGAGCAAGAACGCTACTAGGGGCTCCTGGCCTTACTACTAGGAGCAAGAACGCTACTAGGAGCAAAGGGCATCGCTACTAGGAGCAAGGACGCTACTACCGTCCCCGTGCAGTACTCAAAGCTCCTTCTTTGGATGAAGAAATCCAAGTAACCCCCAAGCCCCAAGTCTTCTCATCGAGCTTCAACCATTGCTTGTGACAACCACTCAAGACCCTCGTAGATTCCTTCGCCTGGTGTGGGCGATCGACAAACTGGAGACAGTTGGCAAAAACAGAAAAATGCCAAGATGCAGCGATGGTATCTCTTTTCGACCCATTAACATCATCAAATTAACCAAATTATATTAGCCGAACAAAGATCTTTGTGATTGAAGCCAAACCTCGTGGCTTGCACCACTGGTCTAGCCCGCACTAGCTCCCTCAGCCAAGGTGCCCTTAGGTGCGCTGGTGGGCTGGACATGAATCTTCCGAAAGCGCAAATCAGCCAAACCGAGCTGCTCTGTGACCTGGACAAACACGCAATCGCGAGGGGAGACTGAGTGGGCCTGGAGTTGACATCCTAACTTGACTCGGGAAAGGCTTTGCAGAATCCTCAGGGGGCCTGCCTTATTTTTGGATGGTTGTTCAGTTATCCTCGACTGTATCAAGTTTCTCTGAAGCTAAACAAATAGTAAAGCCGCAAAGCCTCCTTGGATATGGGCTTTGGTTCTTGGATGTTCTTGTTTAGTTTCGACCGGCTTTGATGTCAATAGAGCAATGAGACCAAGTGCTGCATTCTCTTTCATGTCAAAATGCTGTATAACATTGTCAAACTTTGCAAGCGTGTGGCCTAATAGCGATGGCCTCCTGCCTAATAGAAATTGATAGAAATTGCATCCAACCTGATAGCGATGGCCTCCAACCTAATAGCAATGGCCTCTGTAAGAAGCGCTCATGAACATATCATAACAAAATTTACAAAAACAAACTCTTTCCCTGTTCACATCGACTTTTTGGCTTTGCCAATTCGAGCCTCCTTGGTGGACATGGCATCAGGAAGGTCTTGCTTGTTGGCCATGATAAGGCAGGCAGCCTGTATGAAATTGTCAAAAGTCTCAACCACCTCTAGATTCTTGGGAAAACTTGGCCAAAATGGCACCATGATACCCTGACCCCCCCGCCTGTGCAAGTTCGGGATCTCTCAACATGCCCCACAGCTCCTACACACCACAGGGAGAGAGCTAAGGAAAGCTATTTTGGACAGCTGCTGGGGTAATTCTTCTGCATGTAGCCAAAACATGACAAACATGTGTTGGGTCCTCCCGAGCTTCTTGAATCCGTTGACGATCAGTGCCTTGAAAGGTTTGAGCAAAGGATTCAAATTTGATGCCATTTGCCGACCCAGGCACTGTCAAGCACAAAGATAACCTTAGTCTGCAAGAATTCAACAGGCTGGCGGTCAAAGCCACATCTACCTAATGTGCACCCTTCCATGGTTTTAGTTGGCTGGGTTTTGAACCCACACCTGTTCAGAAGAAGAACAACCAGTGCGAATGCGTCGACGAACTCCGACGAACCAGAACAAGAGTCTAAATCGTCCATCAGTCTACTCCCGAATCAATCAACCCTGCAAAGCAGTGTGGCCAGACCCGTTGAAGGCGCGTTCAACTAATTTCCAAATATTTTTACGTACAAAACCATGCCAGGGTAAACGGAATGCATCTTAGACCCCCTTGAGACTGAGCGAACCTGCCATTCTGGGCCTTTGATTTGATGCCAAGCAGCTGCATGGGTTCCAAGGAAATAATACTTCCACAGTGGTCGAATCTTGTCTTGGCCTCGCAACGCGGCAAGTACAAAACACAAACGTTAGCATGGGCTGGTCATGTAGGGTGCAAAGTTTTACTCGTGACTCGGCTGCGCTGGGAATGCAAAAACTGGTAGGAATTTCGTGAACAGTCTCCACGAGAAACATCACAGTGGAGAATCCTCGAAGTTGTGTTCAAAGCAATTTAGAACCCCCAGGGTGGTGAGTGCATTCAACAAGAAAGCGTTGGAAAGCATAACGCCATGTGAGATTCTCTCAGACAAGCAAAGGCCTTACTTCTTTCACCGAAAACAATATGATATATTTTATGCAACAAACTATATACACACGAAGGAAACATGCAGTGGGTACTTGGGCAGCAATCATGGCTGACCACATGAGCGCTAGAAGAAGCAACGTACAGCACACTCCAAAGAACTTGAAGTCTCAATGCGGGTTTGCTGGGAAGCAACAAGTGACCAAAACAAGTCAAGCACACTCAGATATCTCCGGCTTGCCAGGTTTACAGGTGTCATTCATGACTGGCCCAGGGCCTTCTGCTAACAAGGACCCAGAAAAAACACATGATGCCTGCGGATATCGTATTTAGTGCATTTTAGGGCCAAACTGGGTGTCACATGGTCAACTTTAGCCTCATGAAGTGTCTGAACTCTCTCTAAAAGTGAACAGCCGGCTACAGCGCCTCCGATATCCCAAACAGTGAACCGGATGTTCCGGTACTCCACGGTCTCCACGTTGAAGCCTATCGTTTGATCAATTCGTGTGGGCTTGGGCTCAAACTGCTTCGCCATTAATCTAAATTTGATTTGTTACTACTAGCTTCTTGTTACTACTAGTAAGGCACTTGTTACTAGAAGCGATGCACTTGTTTCTAATAGCAACTTTTGCTCTCTTCACCAAGCAATGACGGACACTTACCCAGGCGTGGTTGGCTGACGACAGACAGGCAAAAGGCGCACCATGGCGGCAGAAAAGCGTTTGAGTTTGGCAACCTTGGAAGGTGCTTCAAATCGCTGTTGTTGCACACGGTTTAGTAAACGTGACACAACCAGCCCACGCACGCCTATGGTTGGGATTGTCATCAGCACCTGCAGGGAAGCACATCAGGGTCAACAGGCGAAACAGGTTCTTGGCTGTGTTCAAAACATGCAAGGCCAAGTGCGCACTACTTCGAAGGCAAAGAACGACGGTGAACGAAAGCTACTTCGCTGCGCGTGACCAAAGCTCTGAAAGCAAGGCCTCCCAGTTTCGTTGTCTTTCAGGCGCCTCATTAAGCTTCAGCTGATACAGCACAGTGGTCTTTCCAGCTGCATCCAGGCCAACCATGACGATCTTTCGATCCTTGCACAATTGAAGGGCAGGACATGGGTGGCTGTTACGATGATTCACATCTCAAATATCATGAACAGACTCATGAACGGCTTTCTGACTCACCCCAATAGGTCTTCACAGTCACAGCAACCATCATGGAAGTGTCAGTCATGCTGGCTCCTGCTTCCCAGCCAAGCGTGCCCAAATCTTCGTGAAAGAAAGTCCCATGGCTGCTGGAAACGAAGCAAATGTCGGGTTGGTGCTTGAGGCTTGAGAAGCCTGGCTTCATGACCACAAATCTTGCTCAAGTAACAATGAACCAAACATGTGGACGTCAATCAGCTACTCTTCTCGAGCATGTTCTTTAAGAACGAGAGGATATGAGAAGATGTTACATAGGCTTCCACAATGAAAGACATGAATGTGCAAAATCTATATAGCCCAAACAACTGGCTTATTATCCCTGAACCGCTCCTACTAACAGCGACGGCCTCCAACCTAGTAGCCTCATGAATGGTCATTTTCAAAAGGTCTACCGCGAGATTGAAACGAGGTCCCTTTGTTTACAACTGTACAGGTCAAGGGACCTCAGGTGGCTCGTGATATTTGTTACAGGCTCTGAGGTCATGCTTGTGCATGTTCGACTGCCTCAGAGTTGCGCTGTACTTGTGTTCCCTACTGTTACTGACAACTTAGTCATGCCAAAGAAACAATGTTTCCTGGATTTGCTGAAAGACAGTGTGCATGGCAAGCACTGGCAGGCTTAGGCTTTGAAAGACGACTGCAAAACAAAGCTTCGAATGTCAGGAAATCCCAGGAATACAGTTAAACTGCTTTGGACAAAGCAAAGCTCAGTGCTTCTTGCACACGGCAAGACTGCAAACACTGATGCAGTGCAAAGGCTCCTGGACTGGACCATCCTATAATAAAAGAAGAATGTGTCTCTCACTTCCATGATTGATGACTCTGCATCCTATTCAAGAGCTGCAGCTCTGACAACCCCCAATCCGAAGGAATTGTGGTTCTGAAATGCACAGGGGCTCATCATCACCTTCACTTGACCAGGTTCCTCTTCAACCCAACAACGGTCTTTGATAAGGTAAGACTCCCTATTCATTCCAGTTCAATTTTGTCAATCCTCAACCCCCCCCGTCCTGCTTCTCATCGAGCTGTAGCATCATTACATCCACCGAAGCGACACGGCAGAGTCGCGCTTCGTCATGGCTCTTGACAGCCAGTCCAATCCTTAGAAGCACACGACGAAGGAAGGTCAAGCAACAAGAAACTACTAGGAGCTAGGAGCAAAGGGCATCGCTATTGGTAACACTGCACATTACTAGGAACAAGAAGCTACCAAGCAAGGGCGCCGGAAGATCCCAAAGTTGGGCGCTCAGCGCTCGGTGGATTCACCACAAAGCGCTGTAGAACATGCTCCTAGTAGCTTCTTGTTCCTAGTAGTAAGGCCAGGAGCCCCTAGTAGCGTCCTTGCTCCTAGTAGCGATGCCCTTTGCTCCTAGTAGCTTCTTGCTCCTAGTAGGGCCAGCGGGGTCGAAGAACATGGAAGAACTACAGCATGTGTTGCACCCTTCATCACCAAGAGTCCTTCGAAGAGACCTTCACCTGTCGAGGCAAGAGAGATTCAACCGTGAACCCCGGATGTCTGCAACATTGACCTACTTGAGGTCTTTCTTGAACAACACAGCTAAGTCGAGACGCGTGGCTACAGCTGGCCTATTCAGAACCCACTGTAGTTTGGCCCCAGGCTTTTGAAAAGCTCAGCTGCCAAGCACTCAACTATTTCATGCAACTTTCCGTGAACACTAAAACAAGCACCCCCAAACAAACATGCACACATCCCTCTCTCATCTCTTTCAATCACACAAGAACCACCTGAACAAACCTTGCCATGTATGCAAAAAAACGAAACGATTCGTCCAAACTCTTATATAATATATAAAACATAAAATAAATAAATAAATATATATATATATTAAAATATATATGTATATGAGTCAATGATAACTTAGTTTTTTTCCTCGACCAGCGAACCGTTTTTCTTTCTTACAATGTCACTGAGCAACTGACGTCGCAAACCGTGGCGAACCCGACGAAGCAGAAGTCCGTCGCCGACGTTGGGCCTTTGGGTGCGCTGCTGGGCTGCACGTGGAATGCTCGGCCTCGAAGCTCAGAGAGGCCCAACTGTTCGGTGACCTGGTTTCGGTCACATGAGCTGTGGCACAAAAGCTGAGCATTTTGGGTTCAGGTTTTTAAACATGATGGGAGCCAGGATCGCAACATAGTAACCATGTTGAAATGATCTTAGGCCTCATTTCTGCCAACCTGTAGTCCCTAACGACTAAGCGTTCTTGGCACGCTTACTAGGCCTCTTTGGCTGACATGGCATCGGGGAGATCCTGCTTGTTGGCCAAAATCAGCACCGGCGCCTGGCCAAGGCTTGATTCTATCCAAGACACACTCTAACAAACTTCAGTGCCCCATGTCACCATGAGTCACGAGTCATTGAGCCAAAACTCTGCAATTGGCACATGAACCCGCCTGGGGCGTGAAGTCAGGCTCCTTTAACATGGTCCAGAGCTCCTCCGTGATAGCGATCTCTGAAACAGGGAACCCGATGAGCTTAGTGGGCGACAAAAGTACAAGCATCAAGCATCTTAATTGCCCGGCTTGAACTCCCACCCCTGAACTGGCCTCCCTTGCTTCCTGCATGCGCTTGTGATCAGAGCCTTAGCTCCCAAAGGCGCCCAATTGGCAGTGCTGCGCCCGGGAGAACACAGCAATCTTTCATTGAATAGGTTTACGAGTCCAATGTACTAGCTTCCATCTGGCTCATCAGCTCATGTTCGAGTTCTCTGAAATGCAAGTTGAACGGCAAACATGCGGCAACTACTGCTTGGTGATGTATGGTCAGTGGTGTACTAATTTGGCTGAAGCTAAACTGACCGACAATGGTCATGGGGGTGTATGGCTAATATATGCTAATATAGATAGTTCAACGCTGGTAAACATGAGTCAAACCCAGCATGTTTAATCTTGTCTGTCCCTTGGACCGCTGGATCTACAATCACTATTAGTGTGTTTGTAGCAAAAGTAGTAATGACTATTAACTAATATATTGTCAACAAACAACACACACACACACATTCATTTGTCATCTTCAGGTATGGGTGGAGAAGCATGTTACCGGCCGTTGTGACATCGAGGCCGCTGCTGTCGCAAGTCTAAATGATTCTAAAAGGCTTGCAAGTTATGGCGCCCAGTGTCAAGCCGCAACACGGTGCCAGCAAGAATGCATTCTGCTGTGAGAAGTACATGCACAATAAAACGCGCACACAATTGTCATGACCGTGTTTGTCTCGCATGCATCCATTTTATCAACTCCAAGGCACTGTCCACAACAAATATCATCGCGTGGGTACCAAGGAAGTAATGCCTCCAGAGTGGTCGGATGATGTCTTGACCTGAGCACACCACACGGAATGTGCCCCATCTGCGTCGCCCAGAATCAATGAAGAGCAACAACAAAGAAGGGCATCCAATCAACATGTGAAAAAAACATTAGTCAAAATAGTGAAACAGTCAGAACTGCATCCAAAAACAGAGTGCTGAAGTACTGTTTCACTGAAGTACTTGGCCAATCTCTGAAAGTCTAAACAGCTATGGCACCACCAATATCCCAAACGGTGAGGCGCAAGTTTCTGTACTCCACGGTCTCTACGTTGAAGCCTGCGACTCGGAACTCAGATCTCATCTACCATCGGCAATTGGCTTTCGTGTCTAAATTGGGAAAATGGAAAACTAGATCCCCCTAGAAGATCACTTTATGTCTGCAAACAATGCAAACTGTCATAAATTGTCCCATGCCAATGATGGCCAGCGGAAAGCTTCTCGGGTTGTCATGGATGGCAAGTGCGACCCCAAAAAGGCCTATCGTCGGGATCGTCATCAGCACTTCATTCAGCTTCAGCCGGTAAAGGACCGTGGTCTTGCCAGCGGCGTCCAATCCGACCATCACAATTTTTCTCTCCTGGAGATTCGGTGTTGCTAGATAATACAAAGACATGAACTTGGCAGCAATGTGTAGAAGAGATAAACCCGGCCAACATATAACGATCATAAGAAGTGCGTTCAGTCAATACATCACCGATGTCGCGATGTCTTCAACACTGACTATCTTCGACATTCCCACAACAATAAACCTTTTTCATGCGCCTTCACTCCCAGCAATCGCCCCCCAAATCTTCGTGAAGGTAAGGCCCATGTTGACTAGCTAGGAATGGCTATAATGCAAGAGCCAGAACAGCTGAGGCGGTTGGCCCATAGTTGGATCCATCGTCGACCCAGGTCTTCCATATTGGGTTAGAACCATTATGACACAACCGAGACCACGATATGATTGATTAACCTGGTTCTTGCTTTCTTGTCGTCTGTGTTTGCCTGGGAAGTCTTTGGTTTTTGTTTCAAATAAAGCGAAATAAAGTGCAAGCACAGGACAACAAAACAACGCGGATTATTTGCACTTGTCACCTTGGGCCTCCCAGCCCAGTTTCACTTTCAGCGGCTCCTGGGCTCTCGAATTTGGCAACACGGAGACACCGGCTTCGTGTGGGTGCTCCATTAGTATGCATATAAATGCATACAGTCAAAATCACAGTTTTTTGGAATCAGACTCCGCAACCCAAACAGACTCCAAGATAAACAGTTTTGATGAATTAATAGAGAGTTGCGCAACACATTTAAAGTTCATACAAGACCGTCAAAAGTTCCCCACGTTATCTAGAAAGCACTGGTAGGCCATCGGCTTGCCGATGGTTATGCGCCATGACACTTTTGTGTGTCACTCTTGTGGGACACTCTCTTGTCGGACACTCTTGCAGAGCTGTCTCGTAGCACTCTTGTGGGACACTCTTACGGAAGCACTCTAGTGGGAGGACACTCTTGCGAGACACTCTTGTCGGACACTTGGGATGCTCTTGTAGGACATTCGTGGGACACTCTTGCGGGACACTCTTGTGGGACGGACACTCTTGTCGGATATTCTTGTGACACTGTTGTGGGGACACTCTTGCAAGGCACTTCTATAGGACACTCTTGTGGGGCACCCGCCGCGGCCAAGCAGATTTTGCGAGCCTGCGCAGTCGAAATGCACTTCGAGGATTTCGAGAGGCGTGAATGTACTGTAAATAGCAGCGAATTAGCCGGACACGGATGCGCAACACCTCGATTAGACACCGGCCCTTTACACTTACTGTAAGAACCCCTAGTGTGTCCACACTGTTTGGGGAAAAAAAAGGTACTATATATATATGTTATAAATATATCCTGGGTATTCTCCCCAAATTGGAAGAGTAAGAGACTCCAAAGATCCACCTCTATGAGTCCATCCGAGTCTGTCCATTTGTGCTGAGCACTACTGACCGGGACCGACGAGTCTGGGCCCATGGAGCTTAGTCCGCCCTTCGACCAACGAACCAAGCTGGCTTGTCACGGCGACCAGGGAGAATACATGCGTTGTTTTTTTTTAAGCCTGGGGGGGAGTAGGTCGTAGAGGGAGGTAGTAGCTAGAGGTAGCTAGTAGAAGCTAGGTAGCTAGTAGCTTAAGTAGCCACTACCTAGAACGCAGGCTAGCGCTCGCACTATTCATTTGGTTCCTAGATCTTTAGGGAAACTTAACTCATAGACAATACTAGAGAATACTAGAGACCTCCAATCATTCAGCTCCCTCATGATTCTGTTAGGTTTGCCATGACTTGCCATGATGCATCATGCATCAAAATGTCAGAGGTGATCATGGTTGTCTATTTCTGACAACAGTCTTCCAAGGTCGCGTATCACCTTTCATCACATGCCAAGTGCATTCTTTTTTTCAATCCAAGTTTCTATCTGGGAGCGGCCAGAGTCAGCTAGCGTCTTTGTGCCGCTGGTTCTAGAGCCCTCAGAGACAACTTGCTGCTGCGAGGAAAACAGGGGAAGTGTCTAGGTGATGCATGCTGGGGGCGTTTCAGCACTTTAGATGTCCTTTGTAGGCTGAGTGCCTCTGAGGTGAATCCGAATGAAGCTAATTGTAATTTTCGTTCAGGAAAGCAACGAGTCTTTCCGGCATACACACTGAAATTAATCATAATGACAAATTCAAACGGGCTCGGCATCAAACGCTTGTGGATCCCTTCGTCCCTACCTGAGTCAAAAGAATTTGCTTGCGAACTGCATTTCTACTAGCCAGGTTGCAGGGGGCTTGGGATCTGTGTGCACTTCCCTCGTTGGAAATGTCTGAGATCAAAACAAAGGCTAAACGGCTAAGAGTTTGCCAAACAACTAACCGTGAACTCTGACTCTACAAGTAGTCTTCTGATTTCGATCTGTTCTCAAGCAGTCTTCTCTTTGAGACTCAAAAGCCGATTTCTGGGACTGTGCTGTGGGAAGCATGAGAGGCGGACCATTGGTGATGCGGGAGCAGAAGGCATCAATGTATGAATCCGGTCAATCGAACATCATGCGAGACAAACGCACAAACCCCGCAACGTCACATTTTGCTGAAGCCTCACACTGTGGAAGAAACTGCATGGGTCATGATTTCTAGATACTTCAAACCAAACAGTTGCAAAGAAAATGTCACCTTCCTTGCAGTTGTGTCTTTTGATGCAGCCTGTAGCCACACGGCTTGATCCAAATGCGCGGATCGTTGGGGCTGAAGAGCAAGTGACCCTCTGCCAAATTCTTTGAAACGCATTTCACCGTGCACAACTCAACAGTAAACAATTATTAAACATGCCAATACGCTCACACAGCGTGCATTTCATCATTTCAAACACCACGAGATAAGGTCAGATCGCACGTCTGCTCCAAAGGAAGGCTCATTGGCCTAATTCAGAGTCTGCTTAAAGTCCGCCTATTCTGACATCTCTTCCGTGGCAAATAAGATCAGTTGGATGCTGCTGTTCGTGATCCACTGCAATCCCTTGCTGCCTTGATTTGTCTTTCAAAGACCAGTCGCGTCGTATCATCTCTGGCTTTAAAACACTTCTGAGCTCTTTACATAAGGAACTACTGTACTTGGAAATTTTAAGCAAAGGGCACAATGAGACCACAAACATCCACCAATATGAGAGATTGTTGAAAGTGCTCCAGGAGTTGAGTACTGCAAAATTCCGAATTAGCGTGTGGATATTGAAGTCCGTGCTTCAAACCCTCTAAAGAACTTGTTAGGTATCATAGATCATAGGCTGTAGCATAGGTATCTGCTTTGAGAACCACTCGCCATCTTATGGCTTTGTATGCTTTGCATGGTACTCGACTCCCTAAGCGCCTCCCAACTCTCATGGTACGACGTTCTGTTTCTGGACACCTGCCAAGCGTCATACAATGAATGCGCAGGAAAACTAGAACTCCATGACTAGAATGTGTTTTGCGTGATAGTCCTTCAGAATACAATACACATCAATACACCCCATCATACCCCATCCACCCTGGTCCCCAAGAATCACATTGCTTTCTCCAAAGCTCCCATGGAGCATGGAGCAGCTCTGAGGGACGTCAACGCCAACAGACTGGGCACCGCCTCCATTCATTTCAACTCGCATGCCTTGGATGCCAGGAAAGCACCGTAGATTAGCACCCAAGTCCCACACCTCCTAATGCTTTGCATATTCAGGCTACACCGGAGGCTACGCTGCAATCGCCTGAGAGCCAAACTAGTCCTGTACAACCCACATTGACGCTCGCCAACTGGAAGGGAGGCTCTGATGCAACTGCCTGAGCTCAGCTTCAAGTCGTTGACCATTCAGCTTCTGTATAACAAAGCTTTTCGCAAGTGCTCAACCCTTGACGACTGAAGCACATTCATCTCCTTCCCCGTTAAACTCGCTGCATCCCATGACGACCACAAAACTCTGCATGTAGGATCAATCGCTGGCCGTTAAACACGGAAAAATTAGAAGACACCCTTGCGACTGATGGTCCTTTTGCCGGCCTGGGCAACACTGGTTCTTGTCTTTGACGGAAGAAAATCATGCTGCGGCAGCAAAACCAAAATCCCGTGCAAACGATTTCATTTCTGAGGTCAACTAGCGTCCCAAGGGTTTGACCCATGGCCAAGTGCTTATTTATGGAGATGGTGTCCAGCAGCAGCAGTTGCAGCGCCAGCTAGCCAACCAGCAAGCAAGGCCAGGCCAGGCCAAGCCAAGCCAAGACAGCACACAATAGTAATCGTCTCCCCATGAACAAACAAACAATTGTTCTAGCAATGCATTAATATCCAAAATCAACGAAATGGCACCGCATGCACGAACATGTCTTTACAACAAGGATCAACAAGGTTTCTATAAATGGACCTTTGTACCAGTCTATCTCGGTTCAAATGGATCGCATTGATGTATCGGTGTGGGTTGATGTTTCAAACGCTGTTCGCGGTCGCACTGGAGTGACAGAATCTGAGCCACTGGCCATGATGTATGGCTCGCAGCCAGTAATTGCAGCCTTGAGATGTCTTCAACGGACTGTTAGTGTCGACCAATCTGGACTTTAAGACTTTATCTGTGCATTTATCATCAGTTATCTATAGATTTTACAGGAAAGAACACGTAGGTTTTGTAGGTGAGCAAGTAGGTCACGGCTGCTGCCACATGTCCAAACCAATACCACACGGGCCCATCCAGCATGACGTCTACTTCCCACGATCCGCGTTCATCTCTGCAGGCTTTGCCTCTGCTGCGGAGCCCAGGTAGACCCCTTTGGAAAAGACGTAGGAGTAGGTGAGCTCCTGAAGGCAAGTCTGAAGTCACATCCACGGTGTTGTTGTTCATAGAAAGTTGTACTTAATGTGATTCATCCATATGCATCCAACTCAATTGTTCCTCTTGTCATTCTCTATGTCCAACCGCAACCATTCTCCATATTAGCTGGATCTAGCTGGTCATCCGCCATTGACCGTCGTCGAATCTTAGCTGAGTGACCGAATCTGCTGCATTGGACAGGCCACGGAAGGCACCTCAGGCCAGCGAGGTTCTGCACGCA